ATAATTACAATGGAAAGTACTTCTAGGCTTGGAAACATCTAACCTCTCGCCAGTAGGTGCCTGAAGGGGGTTTTGGGTTTAGGTTTTGTGAGGTACATCATGAGGGTTTAGGGTTGGAAACCTCGAACCTCTCACCAGTAGGTATCTGAAGCCGGGTTTGGGGCTTAGGTTGCGTGTGGTACATCATCAGGGTTTAGGGTTGTTTGACATCAGCATAGTACCACTTGCAATACCTACAAACTGCCTACGAACGTACGTGCAACTGCCAGCCTACAAGCATTTGGGAGTCCCATGACCGTGAGCCACCCATTTGACACTGAACGCTTCTGGACGAGCAGCCTGCCTTCAATGACCGTGGACTCTGCTTAAGGATCAACGGGTTTCGGGTTTAGGGTTTACTCAACCGGGTTACGTTTAAGCGAAGGCAACTACCCCTGCGTACTGTTAGCTACACATGCAGCTTCAACTGTAGTCTCTCCTTCGGGGTCCCGTAGTCTCTTCTTCGCCTAGACCTAAGAGTAAACTAGGAAGAAAAAGGGTGCCCTTTTTGGTTTAAAGGAACTTGTAAGGGAATCTAAACCCTTAAAAGGCACTCTGGGTCCTAGTCGCTCTGGTTTGATGGCGCTTCAGGGCGGAGGCGACAATAGGCTTCGAGCCGGGAGCTTCGAACCCTGCTTGGAGGTTCAGGGGTAGTTATAAGTGGGGTTATAAGGGGTTTGGGGTTCCTTTACGGGTTCTATAGGGTTAGGGCTTAGGGTATTGATACGTGTGGGCTATAAGCAAGGTAACTATAGTTATCACCCATACTGTTTTTAAGGGACTTGTAACTCGACTGTTAACTACCCATGAACCTCCAAGTAGACCCGAAACGCTTAGCCCTGAACTCGAAACCGCTTCTAGCTTTGTAGCTTGACGGGTAGCGAATGTCACAGGTTGTAAAGGGCTAGAAGTTTCCTGGACCCGCAGGGTTTGGGGCTTATGGACTTCGGGTTTAGGGGTTTGGGCATATCACCAACCGCTGTAGGGGCGTTAATAACTAGAATAGGGTTTGGGGGTTATGTTATACTACAATTATCATCAGGACCCCCCCCCCCCCCCCACAATAGTATACGTAACTATTGAGGCCCCTGTATTAGGCTTTAGCATGCTATCGATGAGCCGTTGCAGCTGCCACGGCCTGCAAGTCCCATCCAAGCTGTAGTGAAACCATGCTGTTGAACGGCGCCTAGAGATCCTATATGCCCCAGGTGCGCCACCGCCTTACTTAGCCCTAAAACCTATCTAGACATCTACAAACCTACGATATTGACGGCATCACCACCTACTGCTTTGTAAGTGTTTAGTAATGTAGGGGCCTTAACGATTAGAATAGGCTTTCGAGGGTTCCTTATCATTTGCGGTCTAATATGCTGCCAAACCCTCGTCTAATTCTTAAGGCCGCTGCACTACAGGTAACCTCTCAACCCTAAACCGAACTACTCCAGTCGCAAAACTTACTTGGAGGATCATGGGACTTGGTAAGGTTATCACAAGTACAGTAGCTGCGGTTACCGCAATTAGGGTTCAAGGAATGATAAGTATAGTTAACATACTTATACCCTTACTTCCAAGCCCCATGATCCTTTAAGTACCCTAAACCCTAAACCCTATAGATCCCTGTAAAGAGCCCTTTAAGGACCCTTATACTTCTAACCCTCTCGTGATCCATGAAGTAAGAACCGGAGAGCTTGTGCTTCTGCTCTCATGCGAAACGTTGGCACCCACGGCCTGAACTCCTGCTTATAAGTATAAGGGTCCTTAAAGGGCTCCTTCAAGGGATCTATGGGGTTTAGGGTTTAGGGTACTTAAAGGATCTCTCTAGGATTTTGGGGTTTAGGGTTTGGGGTTTTGGTTCAAGTCTCTTATTCTCTGAAACTCATAAGTTTGTTTGCAAATACCTCCAAGGGAGAAGCAGCAATCCCCGCCGGTCGATGCACGACGCGGGCCTGAATGCACATTTAGAGTAAGGTTCGGTGGTATATACAACTGCACGTACATTGGGAAGCATAAGGAATACTCTTTGTTGATTGGATTCTTTTTGACACCAAAATTCTAAACAACAAAGCCCTCATTCTAGAAACCTTGAAGGGCCGTCAGAGGAGCCCTTATGAGAACCCTTACAGGAACCCTTTGAAGGAACCCGCATCATCCTCATGGGGCCATATATGACCCTAAACCCTTAACCCTACTTGGAGGGGCAGTGGACTGGTAAGTCGTTTATAAGTAGTGTGATAATTGGGGTAACTCCATTTAGGGTACGTAGAACTCTACTTAGATCCTACTTAATAAGTCCCCTGCCCCTCCAAGTAAACCCTTCGAAGGGAGCCCTGTCATCCTTACCGGAGCCCGTAAAGAAGCCCTTGAAGGCCTTACTGTAGGAACCTGATTAAGAAACCCTGCGCCTTTTACCCAAAAATAGCAGGGTTCATAGAAGGAGCCCTAATAAAGGCCCAAGGCTTCTTCATCAGGTTCCTAGATTACTACAGAACCCTTATAGTAACCCTTTAAAGGAACCCTAAAACAGGCCCAAGGTTTCTGAATCAGGTTCCTACCAACCCTAACCCCTAAACCCCCACACCCTTAAACCCCTAAACCCCTAGACCCCTAAACCCCTAGACCCCTAGATATCCCTTGTGCATCCCTTCATGGAGCCCTTAATTTAAAGGCACCCCTATATGGAGCCCTTTACTCAGCGGTGCCGCCCCCTGCCCCGGCTCAAGTTCGAACCAGGGCGAAAGCCTTTGGAAGGCGTGGACCTCGGTTCCCGAGCTTAGGGTTTAGGGCTTAAGGTTTAAAGCTTAGGGTTTAGGGCTTAAGGTTTAAAGCTTAGGGTTTAGGGCTTAAGGTTTAAAGCTTAGGGTTTAGGGCTTAAGGTTTAAAGCTTAGGGTTTAGGGCTTAAGGTTTAGAGTTTAGGGTTTGGGGGTTAAGGTTTGGAGTTTAGGGTTTAGGGCTTAAGGTTTAGGGTTTGGGGCTTAGGGTTTGGAGTTTAGGGTTTGGGGTTTAGAGTTTAGGGTTTAGGGCTTAAGGTTTAAAGTTTAGGGTTTAGGGCTTAAGGTTTAGAGTTTAGGGTTTGGGGGGTAGGGTTTGGGGTTTAGGGTTTTGGGCTTAGGGTTTTGGGGGTTAGTGTTTAGGGTGTGGGTTTCCCAGACTCGGATCTGGAAAGTGTATCCCTCAATGGGGGCCTCCTGTAACGAACCTTCAGTAGTACGTTAAGGATCATGGGATGTAGTAAGTATGGTTTCACACATTAAGGAGCTGTACTTATCATTACCTAAAACCCAAGGTGCTTATAAAATTTGCATACTAAGTCCCATGAACCTCTAAGTATAGGTTTTCAAGGTAAAGATTCCACTTTCTGGACCCTCCCGGTGGTCAAAAGCCAAACCCTAAAAACCTCAAACCCTAAACCCTAAACCCCCCTAAATCCTAAACCCTTAAAACCTCAAACCCTAAACCCTAAACCCGGTTTGGGGCCTGGTGAGAAATTTGGGGTCTTCGAGTCTCGGGCTGACGGTTTCAGGGTTGCCGCTGTAAGGTTCGGACAGAAGGGCTCGATGGCTCAGGCATTCGGGGTACCCCAGGGTTCCTTTAAAGGGATCCTTTAAGGGCTCCTATGAGGGATCTATAGGGTTTAGGGTATATGGGGGTTTCCGAAAATTAGGGGTACCCTTTTCTGGGGTCCTTATAATACGGATCCTACTATTTCGGGTATTATATTAGGGTCCCCTATTTTCGGAAACCAAGACGCCTGTGCGTGACTGAACGGGGCCCAGACTGCGATCATTGCATGGGACATTCTTCGAGATCCATAGCTACCTGCCCAGCGGCGGGTTGCACCTAAACCCAAACCCTAAATCCTTAGCAACCTGCCCAGCGTTTGGTTGCGAGGTGTGCGGTAGGATCTTGGAAGATCATGAGAATTAGTAAGCAAGGTTCCCTGAAGGGCTCATCTGCTTGCGGGATCACGAACTTAATTAGTATGTCAGGTTCCAAGTACCTTGATTGGGGGGGCAAAAGTGATATTGAATATCCTTACCTCACTCATCACCCTGGATGCTAAGTCCCAGGGGTTGCGGTTCTGCGTTTACGAAAATGTGGGACCATCGTTAAAAAAGGAGTTTAGAGTTTAGGGATTAACTTAGGGATCGCCAAAGCTGTCAGACGGCAAGCTGAAGCCCCTTAAACCCTAAACCCTAAAACCCCCAAACCGCTAAACCCTAAACCCCCAAACCCCTAAACCCTAAACCCTATACCCTTGCAGAATATGCGTTTCCCCTGGATGTGCCGAGTGCGAATGTTTGATTGCTATGGCTTACAGAATGTCAAGCTTAGCGGACAAGGCATGCGTAGCTACAGTTGGCAATTGTACAACAGCCATGATCGGCAGAAGCCAGCAGAGCTTTAGAGCACAGCCACGTCCTTGCTTGAAAAGTTGTAGCGTACTGCGAGAGTTCATGGTTGGCGCTGTTCGTTGAGCTGCATAAGCCCTTCTGTGTCCCCGAGCTCCCAAATTCGAAGATCGAGAGACTTACAGGTTATGAGCCCAAGACCACGACGGCAACTCCGCAAATATGTCTATGAATGGTTTGCTGAGAAATAGTGCACAGCTGCCGAACGGAGTGAGTTCTGGAAGTCAAGCAGTGGCAAGTAATGGAGCAAGTAGAGATCTGCATGGAGATAATCCAAATGTGTTTGATCCTGCCCCTACAACAGCTGCGAGACAATCTCTGGAGCCACAAGGAACCGAGGCCCGAGGGATGCAGGTGGCTGATCATCCTCCGTATGGTCAGGACCAGATGCAGAATGTTGTGCGAGATCTTCAGCGACCAAGTTCTTTGCCGATGATGGGTGGTAGTGCAGGGGAACCACCGCGTACACCTAGAAGTTCAGTGAGGGTTCAAGAGTTCTTTTCAGCGGAAAGCCGGACCTCCGGCGTGGGACAAGAGCAGCAGGGTGTCAGATGGATGGCACGTTTTACGGAGTTTCTTCGGACTACGGCGAATCGGGGAGCCACAGGGATGGACAGAGTGTTGGACACGTTTGGGTTTCCGCATGGGAACCAAGGGACGTTTGTGCGCCCACAGCAGGGAATGGGAGGACAGCAGCCTCTCGACTTCTCCCCTCCTGAGGAGCTTCCGACTTCACATCATCCTTTGCCGGTGCCTCTTTCGTGGTCTACTTCGAGGACTCAGGAGCCGCCGCTGTTTAGCCGGGTTCAGGTTGAACAGATGCGACAGTCAGCACGAGAGCACCCAGCTATATATGGGCCGGGGTCTGAAGTGGAGAGCGAGAGATCTTCGAGGTTACAACAGGAAGTTCAGCGACAGATGGAAGAGTATACATCTCGTCACGAGGAGCACATGTTGCGACTGGAAAACGAGGTGCAGCGACTAAGGGCCGAGCGCTCAATGTGGCAACATCAAGGGCTTCCAGTTGATCCTCAGTCTCAAGGGAATCTACCACAAGGGCCTACTGGACATGGCAGCTATAGTGCTAGCGTACCTGCGCAAGCTTCTCTACCTCAAGGCCAGAATGTACCACAAGGGGTTCCGCAATCAGTACCTGTGCAAGCTCCTCTACCTCAGGGACAGAATGTACCACAAGGGGTTCCGCAATCAGTACCTGTGCAAGCTCCTCTACCTCAGGGACAGAATGTACCACAAGGGGTTCCGCAATCAGTACCTGTGCAAGCTCCTCTACCTCAGGGACAGAATGTACCACAAGGGGTTCCGCAATCAGTACCTGTGCAAGCTCCTCTACCTCAGGGGCAGAATGTACCACAGGGGGCTCCGCAGTCAGTACCTGTACAAGCTCATGTACCTCAAGGACCGAATGTACCACAAGGGGTTCCTCAGTCAGTATATGTACAAGCTTCTTTACCTCATGGTCAGAATGTACCACAAGGAGCTCCACTGTCAGTACCAGCACAAGCATCTGCGCCTCAAGGAGCTAATGCCGGTGATCCATGTCAGGGAATGCCAGGGCGTGAGATAGAGCGTCCAGTTGATCCTCAGTCTCGAGGGAATCTACCACAAGGGCCTGTCGTTTATGATCAAGGTGAAGCAGAACGAGGTGATCCTGGTCAGTCGTTTAGCAAAGGCACGGAGTCCGCAGCTATTCCCAAGGAGTCAGAGAAAGGTAGCTCTTCGGCACAGCAGTGGTTGGGAAATCCGCAAGCTCAGGACCAAATGGCTCTTCTGGCTGGTGGTATGGCGCAGCTTCAACAGGTCGTTCTTCGGCAACTTTCGGCGAGTGAAAAGAGCGGGGACTCATCGCCCGAGGCGGTAAAGCCAGGAACCAGCTCTCTCCCGTTGCTTCCGGCGGTTAAGGCGGAAACCAGCTCGATTGACATAGCGGACTGGCTGGAAATGTTGGCGGCCCCGATGTCGGACTTGTCGGATGGATCGTCTACGTGGTGGAAGATGACGAGGAAAAAGGCGGGTGACGCCTACGAGTCATGGACGAGCGCGGGTCCAATGGAGAAGCTTTCGATAGCCCCTGAACGAGATGTTTCCTTGGAAGGCGGTCGATGGAGTCGTGTCAACAGCAGGGCAGCTTCGATGATCCTGCTGGCTCTTCACGAGAGCGTGAGGAGCGAGATGGTGGCCAGGAGGTTGACGGGCTCTACGGTGAGTTTGTTGTTCAGGCTGATGACCCTCTACCAGCCGGGCGGTGAGGCTGAGCGGACAAGGATTCTGTCGAGTTTGCAGCATCCTCCGGTGGAGACAGAACCACAGAAAGCTGTGGAAGCGCTCAGGTCGTGGGACCGATGGTTGAGGCGACGCAAGGAGCTGAGCTTGGCAACACCGGACCCCACGATCCTCTCGAAGGGGCTCAATGATATGGTCAAAAAGATCGTGGAGCAGAACTCGGATATGGGATTCAGGACGAATCTCATCCGCTCCACCTTGCAGGTGGACACTCGTCCCTCCTATGACAGCATCGACACCTACTACAAGCACTTGATGGCCGAGTGTGAAGCCTTGGCTGTTGCATCTTCCTCGCTTACCCCCCCGTCGATTCCCACGGTGCCTCTGAAGCCGGAACCAAAGATCAAGCCTATGAGAACGAGCGGCAACAACAACACCCCGCCTCCACCACCGAAGCCGTCTTCTTCCTCTACTACAACCAATGGAGCAGAGTCCCAGGACACACCGCGTGGCCAAGGAGACAAGAAAGATGTTCCACGCAGGTTCTTTGGAAAAACGTATCGGGGTTGCGCCAGGACCAACAAGTGCCCGTTCCTTCACTCGTGGGAAGGTTTGGAAAAAGAGAAGCCCTCCCGATGCTTGGCGTGCGGCGGAAAGCATATGGCGAAGGACTGCCCCAACAAGAAGTCTGGGTCACCTACCTCAACGGCGGCAGCAAAGGCGGCGCCTTCGACCCCTACCTCTGGGAAGCCAGGAACAGAAGCTGCGAACCTTTCGACCACTTCATCTACTACCACCAATAAAACGGTCCGGATTGATGATAAGCCCCAGGTCGAAGGAGGTGGCACTGAGCCATCAGCGGCAACAACTACTGAGTTGAAGGAGGTGTTAGCTGATGTGGGAAAAATGCTCAAGGCGATGACGGCGGTGACTACCCTGAAGAAGGTCGCGGTGAAGGACGATCCGTTATGGGTGAGAATCAAGGCGTTGTCTTCAAAGTTTGGCTACGAGGATGATGAAGGAGTTGGTGGACTCCTCGATAGCGGAGCCTCGCACCCAATGAGGGTGGCCACGCAACCGGAGTACGATGAGAGCATCCCGGTGAAGGTGACGTTGGCAGGAGAGGAGGAGAAGGTGCTACGACAAAACGGCCAAGGAACAGGTCTTCTCAATCCAGAAGACGCCGGGGATTCCCAACCGATCGTGCCCTTAGGGGCCCTCATCAAGGACCTCGGGTGCAGTCTGCAATGGAAGGACGACGGCATCAAGCTACTTCATCCTCAACGTGGACATGTGAAGGTTAGGGTCAAGAATAACTGTCCAGAGGTTAGCACGAAAGAGGCCCTCCGCCTTATCCGAGAGCTTGAGATGGTTCAGGTGAAGTCGTTGAATGATCAAGTGTCATCTTTAACAGCAAGGTTGGAAGTTCTGCAAAAGGAAGAGAAGCGTACTTGGGATGGACTTTTGAAGGACTTCCTGGAGCGCGGTGAACGGGGCCTACTACATCGAGTCCTTCTATTGGCACCTTTCACCAAGGACCTTCCGGCAGATGTGCAGGCGATGATGGTTACGGGCTTTGATGTGAATGGTGGCGAGGAATACCTGAAGAAGTTACCTCTGACAAGGAGGAAAAGAAGGCTGTTGATGGCCTCTCAGGACTGGGTGGTCAGGTTGTACAAGGGAAAGGCAGAGGACACCGATGAGTTTGAGAAGATGGTCTCGCGTGGTGGAAAGGTGCTTTTGGATGTAGACGTGATGATATCCAAAATGTTGGACGTCAATGGAGCTGGACCACTATATCAACTACTCTTATGGGCTGCTTCAAAGGGCAAGATATCGGATATCGTTGGCAGCCCCCCCGAGGCTACATGGACTACTTCGTTGACGCCAACAAGAGGACCAAAGGCCATCCACCAACGAACCAAGGACTATCCTTTTGGAGTTCCAGGCCTACCTGCTTTACAACAACAAAAGATCAATCTTGACACCTCGTGCGCGGCAAAGCAACTGTTGCTATGGGTTTGTGCAATGACCAAGGGTCAAAGGAATGTGGGATTTGCTATGGAATTCCCCTCGGACGTGATCCCAATGAGAGAGGAAGAGAAGGATTATCTGTCGTTCTGGAAGACGGAGATGTGGAGGTCTTTTAGATCGTTGGCGGGAATGTCTACGGCTTCCTTCTATCAAGGAGCAGTGGGCCACGCGGCTCTTCGGCCCACAACAATAGCTACGAACTACCCAGAAGTGCTGGAACTGGATGGGGACTTCTCCTTTGATGACGGTTGCCTACCTACCTCTTTGTTGGATCGAAGGTCTTTGAGAAAATGGTCCAAGTTTTTGGAAGCCCTGGTTGCCAAGGCGATTGTGAACAGCGTCGCACCATTAGCCTTTAAGGAGCAAGAGATGATCAGCTCTGGGGCTAAGGTGAGCAAGTTGACAAAGGACCAGCGTGACGCATGGACCCTACACCTCATGAACGACCATCAACCTTACAGGGCAGATTGCTCTGTGTGCTTGAATGCACAAGCAACCGGCTACCAGCACCGCCGCCGGAGACAACCTCAACTATACGCTCTTGCGCTAGACCTTGCAGGACCATACAAGGTTAAAGGCCGAGACATGGACTTCGATGACTACAAGTACATCATGGTTGCTGCTTATAAGTGCCCGAAGGAGTACATGGACGGCAAGGCCCATGAGTTGATGGTGAAGGAGTTCTCCATGGACGAGTATGAGCCTTCTGAAGACGAGGATGGTGAGTATGGTGTTTTGGAGGAAGAAAAAGAAGGCGGCGAGCCTCCTTCAGGAGGAGAAGATGAAGAAGGGGAACCGTTTGGTCCTGCTACGCTGGATGACTCTGTGGAGGAGTTGAAGGAGGCCCCCGAGTGCGTTACGATGTACCTAACGAGACCGTTGAGGAGGAGAACTAAGAGCGAGGTGCTGCGGGCGTCAAAAGAAATCTACTTGCAGCTGAAGCAGACGGGATTACATGTGGCTGCGGTTCATACTGATCGAGCTCGAGAGTTTTCCTCACTGGTCTACAAAGAGTGGTTAGCAGACTGTGGTTTGAGACACTCAAGGACCTCAGGTGGTGATCCAGCGGGCAACAGCACGGCGGAGCTCGGCGTCAGATGGGCCAAATCAAGGGTGAGAGCTCTCTTGAAGGCTGCCGGAGCTGAGGCCAGAGATTGGCCAATGGCAATTCAGCAAGCGACCTCTACGGCATGGGCAAAGGCTTTTCCCTATGCGCCTACTACCAGAACACCAGCTACGCCCTTTGGACATGAAGTTTGGTTTCGATCCAAGAACTACAAGGGAACGGGCGAGAAAAAACATGATCCAACTGGGGCAAGGTGGAAGCGCGGGTGGTACCGAGGACCATCGTACGACGTGAACAGAGGCCACATTATACTACGAGAAGATGGCGGACTCACGATTGCCAAGAGCGTGAAGTTCAATGTGGTGGACCCGGCTAAGGACTTACCTGATCTACTACAACCAGGAATAACTGATGACCTCCTCCCGGAACCTGAAGGCACTGATGCTTTGGTGTCGAACCGAAGACTGGAGGATGAAATTGAGTTCCTTGGAAGGATGCTCCTTGAGAAGAAGGCGTTTGAAGAGAAGGACGTGATGTTTCTCTTTGAAAAGCTTGAGGAGCTGGGAAACACTGACTTTAGGGTTGGGAAGAAAAGTCCAATGACAAGCTGGTACACTGGAGCTTTCGTTCATGGAGGCGTTGCAGGTCTGAGGAGCAATACGAAAAGGTTCAAGCACGCCACAAGGTACTTAGTTGCCTACGCCAAGGAGAAGCTCGGCGACAAGGACTTCACCGCGCTGGGGATCACGAGAAATTCAGCATTGGGGTTACATCGTGATGTACACAACTGCCGATGCACTATGAACTCAGTGTTACCCATAACAAAGTTTGAGGGCGGAGGCCTTTGGGTTGAAGATGAGGGTGTGTGTGAAGATGCCAAGGTGATCAACGTTGTGCCAAAGAAAGGTGAAGTGAAGGGTAGTATTTTTTCTCTTCAAGAAGGACCTGCGAGCTTCAAGCCGAACCTTTGGCATGAAGTTCAACCTTGGAAAGGAGAACGAGTTGTGATGCTGCTATATACTCCTCGGGCATCCAAGTTGAGGCAAGACGATGTGAACGAGCTTGAGGAGTTGGGCTTCAAGTTAGCAGCGGGAGCTCAAGGTGAAGTGGAACCCGAGGACCAGGAGGAGTTGGTTGACGACGAGAACATCGAGATTAAACGGGCCCTACTACAGACGGTTGAGGAGGAGAACGGTGCCTTTGTGGAAGTTGATGATGCAGAGTTGTTTGATGGGAAAGATCTA